TATTTCACTTTTAATAAATGCTTCAAAGGCTACGAATTTTCATTTTTTTACATCGGTCTCCATTACAAATCTTAATTGCAAAAGTTTCGTCGATATCAATATCATTCCTATCCAGTGGCTCGTTAGCATTTTGATATTACTGTTAATATAACACGATTTATCCGACCAGATTTCGAGTCATTTTGGCGGTACTGGTGACGCTTCAGCGAATTTTTAACTCCAATTTAGATTAACATGTTTTTTGGCTAGTAGGGCTAAATTTATTAGGAAGAAGAGGCCTTTTTTATCGTAAATATCAGGCCTATCCTGTTTCTATACCTGATACCAAGTATATGACTTCCCATACCCTAGTCTCTCGTGTGCCAACCCATAAATATTGTGGTATTGCTTGCTTTGATTAGGTTCAATGTTGAGCCACAACGTTAGTGGGTTGATACACAAGAGACTAGAGCATAGGAAGTCATAGACTTGTTATTATATATAGAAAGAGGATGGAAGCAGTGAAAACTAGAGCTAGTTAGCTAACAATAGTCGTGATTCAAGGATATACTGTTAGCCAAATGGCTTTAGTCTCCACCGCGTCTTTCCTGTTTCTATCTGTAATACCATGTATATCACTTCCTACGCCCTAGTCTCTTGTGTGCCAGCCCACAATTGTCATGGTTCTAATTGTTTAGGGTGAACTGACTAAAAAGCCTTTTTTTAGTTTCATTTCTAGAGGAAAATTTTTATTATTGCATTTATATTAATGAATCCTGGCTTCTATGTTTTCCCTTAAGATTCTACGACCCATTTTTGCGTGAACTTTAATTATGAAATTTCTCTATTGACTATTTAAACTAGTTTTTAATATTTAAATGTCAGATGTTCACTTATGATCTCTTATATGTTATTCATACATATTATTGTTTTTTTATGTAAGGTTTTAGATTTCTTGTTTCAATAAACATTTTATACTTTGTATAGAAGATATTTTATTCAATATACATTAATCACCATTTAACAACATTGGATCTTGGAGTTATTAGACACGCTTTCATGTATACGTAGTTTTAAACTATGTAGGGTAATTGATGCTTCAGTGATATCTTAAGTAAGATTTATTCGATTGCCCTCCTCAATAGGATATTTGGCGATTACATTCGTTTCAGAATAAACAAATAGAGTGGCTTATTAGACTTTTCAGTGACTGATAAATAGATTTTCGTTCAATCTTACCGAATTTCGCCCTGCCTTATATCTCACTGGGTTGTTCTTATTCATGATAGGTTGACGTTTTGGTATAGGCTAACTTGTAATAAAGGTGCCTATTTTGAATCTTCTCCCACCCATCTGCGTCTTGGAGATTTATCGATAAAGCACACTTTTTAAGACTGAGGCCTGTTGATTTGCCTGACAATTCGTGCGTCTGGTGCAATCCAAATTCAATTTATTCAACGTATTACTTAACAAAATCGGACTGTCGGCCTTTGACCAAAATACTTCGAATTATAGTTATCTTTTTATAGACTGCATCGTTTCTAATGTGTTGTCCTATGGTTAAATATACCAGTCACATAGATACCACTTTAATAATTTACCGTTTGATTATTTTAATGTTATTTATGTAGTTTATAGCAATTATTTTCGACTTATTTTAAATCAACTAATTTGCGATAGAATAGCTGAGTTTAAATGAATCTTTTGAGATAATATTTTTGGGAAACTTTAATTTCCCATGAGAGTGAACGGTGAATTGATTGGCTTCACTGGACGACGACGGCCAATTCTATTTTAGCTTTAATACGAGGTTCAGGTTGGCGTAGTCAACTTGAACTCCTTCCTCGTTTCTGATGAAATCTGGCTGACGAACATCCTCGGAGCGGGAACTCATTTCTTAAAAAGCTTTGAGTTATTAAATCAGGACGACTATTTTTCCATATCCCACATGCTAATAATGCTCTTAACTAAAAACTAAGAAATAATTATTGATAGATAGGTATAGAAAACTTAAATTAGCTGTCTTAATCAGGGTACTTATACTTGATTTTTCGCATTTAAGTATTGTTTCGAGATGTATTCACACAATTTCGTTTCTACCAGTCCTTCATCGCCTTAAACGAAATTGGGTGAATAAATCTCATATTACTTATATTTGATTGTGTGCCCGCACGCTTGTGTTTATGTCTATGCATCGTCTTCTCTTGCGATCGAATTATGAATCTCTTCATCTTCCACTAACTGAAAGTCTCCACATCAATGAATGCATTATGTATACATACATAATGTTTTTGGAGATTAAGCGTTCTAATTAATAAAATCTTTGTTTTTTTAACATTTACAGGAGGTGATCGGTACAGCGATTGCCATTAATCTGCTTAGCAGCGGCCGAGTACCGCTCTGGGCTGGTGTAATTATCACAATTGCAGATACTTTTACCTTCCTCTTCCTTGATAAATATGGCCTACGGAAATTGGAAGCCTTCTTCGCCTTTCTCATCGGCATTATGACTGTCACATTTGGCTATGAGGTGAGTTGCACAGTCCTTTACCAACTAAATATCCTTTCCTGAATTCTCATATATTGAATCATCATTTAATAGCTACACTTGGGCAAGCAGTCTCTCATTTCATACTAGTCTCAATTCAAAGACATTTTCTTATTAGCTGTTCAAGCAATTCTGCTACTGAATTTTCTTTTTATCATAATTTTATCACTTTTCCTGCGTAAGGTTTTTTGTTATGAATTACTTTTAACTGGATTTGCATACTCGATATTCCATAACTTATGGATCACAGATATTCGTTATTTGATGACGTCTGCTAAAAGCTCTTCAAAAATATCATAAATATAATTTTGAGCTGCCAGGCTGGTAGGTGTTTCAAAATCCTCTAACTATTAATCTAATCTGATTTTGATTTTAAATGCCACATCAATGAACCTGATTTCTGACATCTTCATTTTCCCCACATAATGAACGTCAAAATATGTCGTTTTCTGTATTTTTTGTTTACAAGTAGGTTTTCTAGATTACCAGTAAATCATATATATGAAATGGATTCACCATATTTCGTTTACGGTGATTAAGGACTGGCAATTGAATTTTTCTACAATCATACGAATAGGTCTCATGTTTCCAGTGGATCTCGCGTAGTCGTTCTTCCCACAAGTTATTTTCATCCAGGTTAGACCACAGCTTCGACCTCGCCTGAACTAGTCTCTTCTGCAGCCCAGCGAGACTTGAACTCGGTTTATGGTAGTGTAGCGTATAATCCCTACACGTTAACCACTACGTCACAATCTGCAAATACGTTTGGGTTTATGGGCAGATGCGAAATTGAGTAAGGCGAGGTCATCGGAAAAATAAGGTCCACTCATATAATTGGGGGAAAATTCAGCTAGCAATCCTTCATCACCTAAAACCAAATAGGTTAAATAGATCTCATATATATGACTTACTGTAAATTTCGAAAACCTGCTTATACGGTAAAAAAATAAGTAATATAGTCGATTGCTATATCAAAATACAACTGCTTCTACGACAATCCCTTCACAGAACCTGATACGGGAAAAGGCTTGATCCTCCTTGAAATTCCCAATTGACCTGTGACCTAAGGGTAATCATTTCAGTGTAGCTTAGTAGTTAACATGTCGATATTCTACACCTTACTACCACTAACTAGGTTCGAGTCCCGCTGAGGGTATAGATGAGACCTATCCTGGCGAAGTCGAATTCGGTCTGGATGAGAATACATTTTAGGAAGTAAGGCTTTATGAAACTCGATAGAAATGTAAAGGCTACTCATATCATTGTTGGAAAATTTAACTAACAGTCTGTCATGACCTCGTTTTCTGTCTTGAAATTCAATTGTTGAGCTTACTTCCATTTCGAGTGAAAGTGTTTGAGGAAGCTACTCGAAGGGCATTCCAACCAGAAGACGACGGCTGATGTCTCTTGGTCAGCTGCCGATTGGCTCTACTGGAACATCCTTGTCGCTGCTGTTTCCGGGGTAATCTCCTTCAATTCCTGTGAAAACGTGCTGAGCTTTCGTTCTTCATATGACGGATATAATCAGAGCATGGTATCATCCTTACAACCATATTCAAGCTAACGAATCAAGAAAACACACCGACTCATCCATAAAATGCTGTATATATGCTCTTTATTTGAGCTATTTCATAAGGTATAAAGTGATTTGCTTAGTTCCAGTCATATGTCAATCTCAAAACATGTGAGTGTGTATGTTTCTGTATGTGTTCACATATGTAGTAAATAGCAGTGATGACTCAAAGTAACGTCTGTTCTTGGCCATCAGGGTTTGATTACCAACATCGCCTCCCTCTCTACATATTTTAACCACCACTGATTGCGCAAGGTCGGGCACACGTCTGGCTATGTTGATGAGCTTATTTGTCTTCATGTGAGAGAGAACGAATGGGCTAGAAATACAGAGAAAGGACCATGATTAGAACCAAACAAGAAAAGACTAGTTGAGTCGCCTCATTTTTGCAGACAGCTCAACACCGTCCTTATCCTTGTTCAATGAAGTAAGTAAAAATAGTTTGAACCTAACTACTTGCCGGTATTCCTTACATTCAATGTATTCGATACTTGGTTTATTTCGATGGCCGCCGATATACAATAATCAACAAAGCGACAAGTTTAATAACATTCAATCTCGTGTCCAGTTTTTGCCTTGTGCTCAGCTAGCTCTAGTTTTCTAACCTAACAGCCTCTGCAAGCTGTTTTCTGCTCGGCCACTTTTTTGTCGAATGGGCGACAAGTTCCTCCAAACATAAAAGTGACCACATGAACACATTATGTTATAGCAACTCGATCGGGATAATAAGTCAACTTTGTCCCTTAAAGTGGGCATAATTGAAGAAAGCGTCGTAATTGCCCTGACGACCGTTTTTATTCCCCACTTCCTTAAAAGTTTGACTATCTTTTCTAAAGAACGCAGGAAGGCAGTGACAAATTATAGTAAAAAGGTCTCCTTATCTCTCCTTACGTATTCACTATTCAAAAATATATTCGGTATTAATCTAATGTTATTTTCGATCAAACCCATGTGATAATTATTCTCAAGAAGTATTAGTTTGTTTTGATCCAGTTCATTATTACAATGGAGACTTCTGGATATTGAAGTCATGCGCTCTAACAGGACACTCATGAGGAGATTATACAGAAAGAATTCATATGCGGGAATAATCCTTAATTTTCAGTCTCACCATAACTACAGACTGGAAATCGGAATACTAAGGAGTTTGAACATCAGAAGCTTAAGACTAATGAAAACTGAGTCCTGGGACGAGGATTTGGACAAATTGATTCGGATTTGACTTAGTAACGAGTACCCCAAAAAATGTATAGAATGAAATGTAGGCTTCATAAAAAGCAGATTTCAACTCGGATTGTGGGTATCCTTAATTTTAGGGAAAAAAATTGCAAGGAGACCAGAAATGGACAATCAGAAGCCAAGAGGAGACGTCTACAGCGAGCCTAATCAAAACAAGTAGAACCACAGCATTTGAAGGTTGACACACAATAAACTAGGGCACAGGACGTCATAGACTTGGCACTATGGGTAGGAGCACGATTTATACGACGGAGACTAGAGCTGGTTGGCTACCAGTATATGTGTTTGGTCAGACGTGGTCCACGAAGCAATAGCTTAACGATGAAAATTACTCGGGATCTATAGCCTCAAGTTATTCTCCCATCCATATTGAGAATCCTGACTTTAGGGGCCTGCTCAGCTAGGCGGGAGTATACGTGTCATTAAAGGCTTTAGTCG